GAACAAAGACTCTAAACGTCCTGCCTTGGATGCAAGACTTGCCAAATCCTCAACATCCAGGGCAGTGAGTGCCTTTCTTAAGCGAGTATGCATATTCCGGACCACTAAATTGGTCATCTCTTTCTCACTGATTACCGTAGGACATCGTCCCTTCATCAATCGCACCCTTTCTATAAACTGTGAAGCAGATTCTTCTGGATACTGTCTCAATTCTAGTAGATCAGTTAAAGAAACAGTTGGTAAAGGATTGAAGAATCTAGCATGAAATGCCATCTCCAGTCCTTCCCATGTCTGAATTTGTCCAGGAGGCAGACTTGCAAACCACGAAAATGCTGTTCTAGTAAGAGATAAACCAAACAGCTGCAACTTATAAAAAGGGTTATTGCCAACTTCTCCTAATTGTGCTGTGAACCGACCAACATGTTCTATGGTGGAAGATCCGTCCTCCCCTGAGAATGCATGAAAATCGGGTGGTCGATAATTCCTTGGGAGGGGGTGTTCATTAATGATCCTTTCTGGGAAAGGTCTCTGATATGCAGGGCGGTTAGCCATCTGAGGAGTTAATCCATACTGATCCCTTAATATATGTGCAATCTCATCAGGATCTACATGAAAGCGTTGATGATCAGGAACATGGAACGGATCCTGCACAGGAATATGAATAGGATCATGTATATATCCTTCAGGCCTGTCCTCCCTTGTATTGTTCGGCTGCGGATTGATAACCCTTGGTCCCAGTGGAACAGTGTTGGGAAAAGTCAGAGGAGATTTTCCCCTATCCATTCGGTTGGGATTTGTGGCACTTGGGAATGTACTATCCACGAATGATGGCCCTGCGAAATTTGCCTGTGGTCTGGACGGTGATACTCCTGGTGGAGTCTGAGTGGGTTGAAGACTAACCCTTGACAGTGCTTGATCTATCATGTTCTGCATCAGACTCTGTTGCTCACGCAACATGTTCGTTTGTTGCTCACGCAACATATTCTGCATAACCAAAGTGTGCTGGTTGTTCATTTGTTGAACATAAGACCACCAATCCGTTGGTGGTTGTGGGATTTCCCCTGCATTTGGCACAATAGGTGGTGGAACGGATTCTCCCACCGGTGCCGAAGATGATTGAGGTTGTGAACCTGCCATATGGACCCTTCCGATGATACGGCCGGATCTTAGACGTATGAAATTATCGCCGGAATTGGAATGAGCAATTTTGTCTTGCTCCCACTGTGGTCGCCAATTTGTTGATGTATTTTTTCAACAAAAATAAAGTAAAATTCAAAGATATAGAAAATATCCTTAAACTTGATTAATTAGTGCCTGAGATTAGGAATCTCTAAACACTGCATGGTACAGAAAATAAACTGGAAAATAAAAGACTGAAATTTAAAGTGGTGATCCCCAAATCTGACTTTGCTTTGTTGAAGTTGATTGAAGATACCCTGCCAAATGATGATCCAAATCCTTAAATATTCTTTGAAGAAACTGTACTGAAAACCGTCGCCCGAACGGTTACAACGTCTCCTTCCCAACCGTCTTCCAACCCTTCTCCTGCTGACACGTGTCCTCAGCAGACCAAAATTATCCCTATATTTCACACTTTGAGCCGACCACAGACCTTCCGCCCTTTTGGCCCGACTTCGTCCTTCGCCCGACCTGCTTCTTCGCCCGACCTCACTTGGGCCGACCTCCGCATCAGCCGCCCTCCGTCTTTGACCGAAGACCTCCGCGTCTATCCGTACCTCTTCCTTGCCCGACCTTCCTCTTGACAGACCTCCGCTTCTGCCCGACTTCGCCTTCTACCCGATCTACGGTTTACCCGACCTGCGGACTTCCCATCCTGATGACTTTCCGTCTTGAGGACCTCCCGACCTGAAGACCTTCCGACCTGAGGTCTTTCCGTCTTGAGGACTTTCCGTCTTGAGGACCTCCCGACCTGAAGACCTTCCGACCTGAGGTCTTTCCGTCCTGAGGACCTTCCATCTTGAGGACCTCCCGACCTGAAGACCTTCCGACCTGAGGTCTTTCCGTCTTGAGGACTTTCCGTCTTGAGGACCTCCCGACCTGAAGACCTTCCGACCTGAGGTCTTTCCGTCCTGAGGACCTTCCGTCTTGAGGACCTCCCGACCTGAAGACCTTCCGTCCTGAGATCTTTCCGTCCTGAGGACCTTCCGTCTTGAGGACCTACCGACCTGAAGACCTTCCGACCTGAAGTCTTTCCGTCCTGTATTTTCCTTGATTTCCACACGATGTCCTGCAGCCAGTTCAATCAACTCTATTGCCAGGCCCATTCTTCTTTTACCTTGGGCTTTTAACCTAATTCTAAATTTCGTACGTAACAGTAATAATTTTATAATTTTTAATAACTAAAAATAAAAATATAATTTCAGAAAATGAACTTATTAAAGGTGTATTTTTTTTTTTTATCGGACGGTTTAACATTATTTGAACAGACGTTGGGGGGACATCTGCACCGGAGAAGGGACATGTGTCATCCTTTCTTTTTATTTAAAAAAAAATAAAAATTGGAGAACGTACAATCGTAAAAGACTGTAATATAAAATATAAATCGAAGGTAAAAAATTTAATATCATATTGACAGGAAAGTGTAAAGAGAATCGACCCAATTTATATATATAAACAAACACATTCGTGTAAAATAATTGTTGTATTGTATGAATTAGGACGGGCCAATGATCCAACACTACAATTATTTTTAATTCTTTAATTAGAAAAATGAATCTAATCAAATCTAACAATATTGGCTTAATTTATATAGAGAATTTGAGTTTGAGTTTTATAAAAAATTTAAAATAGTATAAATATATGTATTTAGTGTAATAATATGTCAAGTTAAAGAAAAAAAGTAATCTTAAAAATTTTAAAAATACATGTATATAAACAAAGCAATATATTTGGATAGAATTCACTTTAAAATCCAAGATGAAGCTTTAAATTTATTGTGAGGTGGATTGAAGTGGGCTCAGAGGCCCGGGATGGCTCAACCCATAAAAATGTGTTTTCTCTGCATATTATGGCTCTATTTAACTACACTTTTTTGTAAATTTTGGCACTACATTAATATCAACTTTTTCAAAAAAGTTACTTTCATCTCACAAATTATGTCAAATATACGAAGGTAGTTACCTTTTTGGGAGAAAATTAATTCATAAGTACTGACAACATACTAATTATAAAGCAAGAACACATACCTATTTAGGAGGGAGCATTCATCGGTGCAAACTGAAGAAGTCAATTTTTTTTTTTTTTTTTTTTTTATTTGGACAAATCGATTTGGTCTATTTGGTTCATTAGTTCAATTCGGTCTAAAATCGAATTTATAAATTTGAATTTCGATTCGGTTATAATTTTCAATTTTCAAACCGAATAAACCAAAAAAACCGAATTCTAAATAAAATAAATTTTATATTTTATATATTGTTATAATTCTGATCTTTAAATATTTATATTTCAGTATTTGATCCATTTATAAATTGCTTGGAACATATAATTGGGATAAATGAATCTGCATTAGTGATGAAAAATGAATTAAACTAATAAGTTACAGCATTATCTAAAAAATTTCAAAAAATTTGGTTTGTTGAGTTTTAAGCCGAACCGAATTACTTTGATTTGATTGTAGTTTGACTTTGCAAATTTTGATTCGGTTTCAATTTTGATTTTTACAAACCGAAAACCAATCAAAATTCAAAGTTCGGTTCGGTTCAAACCGACCAAATGCTCACGCCTATACCTATTAACTAGACTACATAATGTATGTATGTATGTGTTAGTATGATACAAATACAATATATAAACTAACAATATATTACAATATTCTATTCAAAATGTACCATCATTAAATTCAACACATAGGATATATATATATATATATATATATAAAAACAGCAGACCTATAAAGTCGTGTGTTGCCTAGGGATGTGTTACTTAAGCTAATCAAGATATAAAATGCATCTATATAATTTAACCATTGGAGTTTCTTAAAACAATCAGTCTTACTTGCCAGTCCCTAACTTTGATCATGAGACTATATATGTTGATACATTGCCAATGGAAGACTTTGCAAATCAACAACAACAAATCCTAACTGTTAAGGTGACAAGAAACCTTGCAGAAATAATCCAAGTTCAAACCAATGGTAAGTATGTAATTACTTCACAATCTTTCACTAACCCCTATCACTTCATCTTCTTCTTCACAACTAATTCAAAATTCCATCTGTTTTCTGCTTCGAAAACTTATATTATTTGAAGCAATCTCCATTTTAGTTTCATGTTTGTTCATCGAAGAATCAACTCATCTAAAAGAGTATTAAAGCACAATGTACGCTTATATATAGGTTGGTTGCAACGATATATATATATATATATACATATCGGTCAACGGTGTCACTTCAATTCTAACACTGCATGCAGCTACAAGCATCAGGCATTTAATTTCTGAGAAAATATATATATATATATATATATATATATAGAATAGTGTAGACCAATGATGAAAAATTTTCGGGAAAACACAAATAAGCATACACATCTATTTTATACTCTCATCAAATATAGACTTTACTTTTTAAAATAGCAAAATTGCTTATAACCCCACACATAGTTTGAAAAATTTCCAGCATATCCATGATTTAGAAATTGTCATAATCCCTAAAAATTGCGTAAGGCTCCCTTGTGTTTTAAAAAATACAGCACTGACTCCTTAAAAATAGATTATGTGCAATATTTCCGAAAACACGAAGAAACCTCGTTCAATTTCTAAATCACGAAGAAGAATATGCGGTCTTTCCAAACTACAAAGAAAGAATGCCATCATATATATACTTCATGAGTCAAAATGAAAACCTCATATTCAAAATGGAAAGCATTGAAAAGGAAAAGCAGCAAAGGAAACATAAAGATCCTGAATCTTCAAGTATTTAACCTAAGAATAAAAAAAGAACAAAAACCTTGGCGGATTTCTATTTTAAGAAACAAAACATCAATACGAAATTCACATCACCAATATGTATATATATATATGTGCGTTAATGTATATGTATAAAATTTATATATATATATATATATATCTCACAGAAAAAGCACAGGGAAAATATTAATTGCCAAGACCATCTGCAACAAAAACAAATACGAATTGCACGCACATGCAAAACCAAACCAAACCAAACCATCATCATAAAACTATTTCAGAAAACTTCGGCTACCTTGCTAGCAAGAACACGCTCACGCCTTTCTATGTAAGCGTACGGGAACCACCCTGCTTTCCCTTTGCATTCACCTTCAGCCCAACCATTATTTGAAACCTTCATAAGTTAAGGCATGACACAATTTCTATTTAGTCAGCCAGAGAGAAAAACAACAGATAGAAGATTTCCACAAATTTCAACAATGAGTAGACAAGAGCAAACCAAACAAAATCAAATCAAAGGTGGAGGCGTCAAAAAAAATCCACAGGGAAGTAGCAAGTACCATTTAACTTTGAAATCTTGATTCTGATAACATGACATGAAATTGAGATACAAGTACAAAAGGCCCCCAAAAGTACAACTCCCTCCGTCCATCAAATACATGTTTAAATGAACGCGACACAGATTTTAATAAATATAATATTATATTGGTTGATCAAGACAACTAAGTAAAAGTATTTTAGAAAGTATATAAGTGAATTAACAAGGTGAACGAAATTTTTTATAAATCGAGTATAAATGATTACATCATATTTGTAAATAAATATAATGTTGAAGGGTATAGATTAAATAATGCATAAAGAGCTTTTGTTTTTTCTATAAATGAAAAGTGTATTTTTTTTCTTTTTGTGGACAAACATAGATTTAATGAATGGACGGAGTAATTCTTTTGAAGGCCAATTAATGGGAGACAAATAATTGGTGAGAGACAGCACATCACAAAGTCTTAAACTTCAGCTATTATGTAGGTCGAAAAAGTAGACATGGATTTAGCTCAGGTATGCAGAAGAGAGCATTTTTTCACTAATACGGAGTTACGGACAGAGACAAAAATTCACATGAAGGTAGCACATGCAGTGTGTATGTTAGCAGAACACTTAGAAATATAAACGGAGAAATATTTTGCAAGTTAATTGAGAGAAGTAATAATGAGTCAAGCGAGCAAACCTTCCGAACAACAACATAGTCTCCGATGGATAAATTAAGTTCCACATCAGATTCAGCTTGATACGAGTACATGACCTACAGTGGATGGAATGAACAAAATGGAAAAAATCAAACAACTATATTAAAGCAATCGTAACCAAATATTATATTAAAACAATCTGCATACCTCCCCAAGAAAATAGCCCATGCTATCAGTTGATCCATTCTGCACTGGCGAAGTCGGTACTCCATTTACTTCTTCATATGAAGGAGGTGCTGGCATACTATGCATGCTCGGAGCAGTGGCAGAAGTGGGAGCAGGAGCAGGAGGAGGTGCGGCTTCAATTCTTTGGCGTTCAGACATCATCTAAGCAGGCAGCATATAAATCATCATACCTTTGGGATCAATCTTAATCCCGATAATGTAAGAAGCAAAATGTTCTTCATTGACAAATCACACAGAGCACTTACTTCGCTTTCTAGGTGATCAAGTATTTGAAGAACTCGCTGATGATAAGCTCGTTCCGACTCAACCTAGAAGGAATAAAAATAGCGGTGAAATGAGGGTAGCTTTTCGAGGTTGGTTGTAGAATTTCACAAATCATGCTTTTGTAGGTAAATACCATGGCAATTAGTCGTTGGAGGGTCAACCTTTGTTGTTGAGCTTCAACGGCAGCCATGGCAGCAGCAGCTTCTTTTCCAAGTGTAGCAACATTTGCCTTCAGATCTTGCAGTTTGGCTTCAGCTGCTTCAAGTTTATAAGCCATGTCGGGATGGGCTGTTCCTTCTCTTACTTTAGCTTGTCTTCTAGAAACTTCTACAGCCTATCTAGGTTCAACAATTCAGACCAGATAGGCAGTGAAGGATGCAACACAATCCAAAAACTGTCAACAACAAACAGAATGCCCTTCCAAATACCTGAGCTTCCGCCTCTTGTCTCATCCGATCGTATCTTTGAGCAAGATGACGAGCATCTTCCAATGGAGCTCCCATTACCATAGCTCTCAATGGTTCCGCCACCTGGAATATGAGAAAGTAGATCTTTCGTCAAATGATAAAACAATCTTAAAGATTATCACATAGGCTGCACATAAGTTAAAACTATTCACAAGCGGTGGTAAAAGGAGCAAAAGCCCCTTAGCACTTGAAGAAATTGTGGTACTAGAGCATTCATCTAGTAATGCAACAAATCAGAGTCGAAACACATTCAAGAATCCAGAGTCTAAATCAAGACAGTAACTCATACAAAAACAACACACAAATGAGTTATTTACATTATAATATAAATAACCATGACACAATTATCCCCACAAGTAAACATACCCAGAATATATCCTTCAAAATAGTCATTCATGAATAACATGTAATATGAGCTAAGGTATTTCCAAGAAATGATCCATCTTTCAATTAGTGTATAGAAGCTCATATGCGGTGTCTAAGAAGCTACATAAACTAAATTCTTAAATAGAGCAGTTTTATGCCTGAATCATCTTCATTTATACGTCCGTATTCTTTTACACTGCAAGGGCAGCGAGTATTCAGATAATGTCAATACTGCACGACCTTGCCATGAAACTTCATTCATCAATCTAGCTACAGAGATGCCTAATAGCCATATCCTACATATCGTTGGATGATGGATGAAGATTATATGTTATTTGAGTTTGATGCACATTAATCCTGTATAAATTCATATGGTAAAAACAAGAGATTCCTTTTAGCTGACCCTAAACATCCATTACAACATTATCGACCTTCAGAGAGCATAATATGCTAGTGACAACAATTTACATTTTAATAATCAACCGTTAAATAGGGTTTGAAAAATCAGAATCCGAACCTGTGTGCCAAAGGCTTTTAACAAATTTCCACGTTCTTTTTCCATCTGTGCACGTGCTCGTGCAAAATTCAAAGCAGCCTTTGACAACGTGCTGCCACTGGTACATGTATTTTCAGCACCATATTTCCTGCTATCTTCTGACAATTTGGTTCCTGAAGGAAAACAAGAAGCATATACGAATCAGTTCCTATAAAGTGCCCTATCTCAATAAACCGTAATCGACGACTAAGAACTTAAATTTAGATATTAACCTATCTCAACTTGTTTGGATCCTGTAACTATATATCCTTCGACACCACGGACAATGTCCCTTTGGAAATGCTGAAAACATAACCACAATACACATCACATTAACCAAATCAGCAAACTAATTCGCAGAACGTTAAATAGCCAGTAAATTATCAGAAAAAAAAAAAAAAAAAAGAGCTTCAAACACGAAAATTGACCTTGGCAGCACGAGTTGATATGTATAACTTTTCAAGCTTCTGGTGCTGCTGGATCTCGGCATCATCAGCCACAACACTATCTGCACCTCCATATGCACCAAACTTGTTCAACACAGCCTGAAATATCCATCACAACGCCCAGTGTCTTCAGATTCAAGGAAGTATTATTTCCAAAAAATAAAATGCACATAAAGAGCAACACAAAGTACAGTTTCAGTGATAATTAACTTTAATCCAAAAGTCATATCATGTCATTAAGCATAAACACATATCCTATCATACAGATTACCAATATGTGTGATTCAATTTTGTGGCACAACGCCGGGAATCACTACTGAAAAAAGTGATACGCTCACAATTGAAATCGAATCACGATCCATCACAACTTTAATCTTATACAAAGTAATACAATACCGCCGCTAAAACCTAAATCAAGGAAATGAAAAGCACGCACCGCCTCTGGATTTCAAATCCAAAATACAGCAACAAATTCTAATATCGAAGAACCAAAAAAAAATACAGCAAAGCAATCAAGAACTCACACAGATCTCAAAAATCGTAACATTATGAAGCTCTTGGTCATCCGATTCCGTCCGCAAACAAATCCTAACTCATAAACGCAAGTACAAAACGAAACATGAACAAATCTAAAGATTGCTTAGCGTACCTGCTGCTGCCTGGCTACCTGCTCTCGGAGCCTCGAAGCTTGCTTTCTGATGGCTTCCATTCACAAATCGACCAAAGCCTTTTCCGATTTGAATGTGCGGTGCGGACATACACCCAGAGAAAGAAAGAATGGGAAAATTGAGTCGCAATTTTGGGAAGGCCGAAGAACAGATGACAGGAGGAGCTTCTCACTATTTTGATTATTTATTTATTTATTTAAATTGACCATTTAGTAGTCATCGCTCTTTATAATAGTTATATTTTTATTTTATTTTTTTAGTATATTTATAATATATTCTATTTTTAGTTAGAATTTTGAATAAGTAACTCCGTTTCATTTTGTAATTTTCAGTTTATAGTTTTCGTTTACCTTTTATTTGAGGAATTACGCTGTTTATCTAATTTTTTTTTCTTTCTCTTCGTTTAAATTCAAAATTTTTACTATTTAAATCTCTAATTTAAAATTAATTTCTATTTATCAATTATTTAATCTATGGATTTTTATTTTTTTTATATCATACTGTACTATTTAACATTAATTTTTTAACATAGAATTAAAAAAATATTAGCAGGATTCGAACTTATGATCTAATAGCCATCTTAAGTATTCAAGGATGTGGTCATACATTTGTAATTCATTATTGAAATTTTTGTTTCGAATATTTAAGTTTTGAACATTTTAAAACATATATATATATGTAAAAAATAAGATAATTAATGTAATATTTTTTAAAATAAAAATAAATATTGAATATATATTGCCTTTGTAAAAATTATGTTGTTCAAAGTGTTGATAAAGAAGATAATTTTTTTTTACAGAAATAGAGCATTTATTATTGCATAAGTAAGAAATAAAATAAGTCTTTATTTACTTGTACATTTTAGGAATTTTTGGCAATATTTTTAAAAATATTATGCGTATATTTATTTGACAAAATGTTATATCAAAATTTTTTTTTTCTTTTTTTTTTCAAAATTTTTCAATATTGCTAAAACTTGTAGAAAGAGAACTAGAATCCAAACATAAGGGATGAATTTTCAAATTTTTTTAAAATAATAGAGTTTATTTAGTGTGGTGATTTTATTATACGGTCAAATAATATAATATATCAACTAGAATATGCCTAAAGATTGAAATATAACACAATTAATCATAGGCTAAAATGATTTTTTGAAAATCAAATCTAAAACCCAACCAAACATGCATAAATGCAATTGAATTAGGGAATCAACTCCCTCTTTGTAAATTCCAGATTCTCAAGGGGACGATCAACGACGGCTTGCGGTGGTTTCTCCGATGAACAACAGCCACGCAATGGTTCGGCGGACAATGGCAGATTTCTTCTCCAATAGGCAACGGACAGATTGATAGCGAGTCATTCTGAAACTCTCAAATCGACATGACAAGAACGATTGGGGAAAGTTTTGGTTGGCTTAGTCTACAACCTCTCTATAGTTGGCTCTATATAGTTGGTGAATGACTCACTTAGGACTACCCAACCGCTTCCAAACAAATCCAAAACTGACGGACTTGATCTATAGAACCCTAACTCGACTAATTGACCGATTTCCCAAGAAACTCACAAAGAATACGCAAAGGAACGACTTACCAGAAGGATTGAAGAACAAGATCAGTTGAAACTACAACGAAAAAGAAAACCTCCCAAAAACCCCAAAGAATCACGAAAAAAAAGATAGAACTATCGAACTAATTTTGTTTCTCGTGGAAGGAAATGAGAGATAAGAGGGGATATAATAGCGTGGGTCGGGTCAAGGGTATAGGATACGGACCGGATTATAGGGTTTGGATTGCGGATCGGGCAAGGGTAACTGATCAGGCCAAATTTCAACATTTTCCACCAATTTGGTCATTTGATTCACCGAGGGTTATGGGATGCATGATAGCTAATTGACCCTTTTCGCCTAGTAGAGTTGCATGAGAATTTTCCGAAAAGATTCACCAACACACTATGAACCTACACTCACAAACAAATATTAAGAAACTCTGCACTCACGAGTAAACAATAGTCCTATAAAAACTAATAGCTCATTCAAAAAAAAAAAGACGACATAATGCAAAAATAGACAATATGCGAACTCCACCTCAAAAATAGTCACGGAATTTATGCAAGATCACAAATTTTATACATGTCATGACACCATTACAAAAATACATAACGAACGCTTTTACTAAAAGGATTATATTAACATGCTTGAACACTAAAAAATACAAAGACAAACATATATCACATTCAGAAAATTCAATGTCGACCACATAGAAGCTAAGAATATAGATGTGACACCCCGGCCAATAAGCCACATAAAGTCGGGTATGTTGGGATCATAGAGTGGCCCTACACTCAAATTACTCTAGGACAAGCATGCTTAACTCTAGAGTTCTTTTAGTAGGGCTCCCAAAGAGGAATGTGCACATTGTTGACATGAGTAATCTATTCAATCTATTTAACCTCTATTCAACCTATGGGGTATCACATCCGACCCGATTCATATCACTATTCAACTCAGGGGGTATTACACCCCTCAACAGTCCGGCCAACGACTATAGGCTATTGCAGATCGGCTCTGATACCAAATGTGACACCTCAACCCGCAAGCTACGTAAAGTCGGGTGTGTCGGGATCCCAAACTGGTTTCACAGGTCCTTCCAGTGCAATTTGTCCTCTTCATTCACGCGCACCCTATGAGACATCTCATATGTCACTCATCTTCAAATTAATCTAAGGCAAGCACGCTTAACTCTAGAGTTCTTTCAGTAGGGCTCCCGAAAAAGAATATACATATTATTAACATGAGTAGTCTATTCAATCCATTTAACCTCTATTCAACCTTGGGGGTATCACATCCTTCCCGACTCATATCACTATTCAACTATGAGGGTATTACAATAAATTTGCACACATTATCACAAAAAAATACAATATTATCACATAGCCTAAGCAAACTTTATCACAATGCTTAGCAGACTAATATACAGTTAGACAAACACTCAAATATTCACGCAAAACTAATAACTTAGATTATTTATTTAGTCTAGGAAACACAATCACAAATGACAAAGACAATAAAAAATCAAATTACCACCCAAATGCAAACTATAAGAATTATTCTTATGGTTTTCTCTTTCACACAATGTCACGTCAGCTTAAAAATTTATCAATAATTTATTTGGTTTTTTCACAATGTAGAATTCAAAATAAAAATTCTTAAAAATTTTATTTTTGCCACATCAGCACATTTATTATTTTATTTCTTACAAATTTTATATATTATATTCCCTGTGTCGCATTCTATGAGTCATAATTATTTTTTACACGTTGATTAAGGAATAATAATATTTATATGTAGTGGACATTAGAAGATTGTATAATGACATTTTTGTCCTAACACATTTTTCTTTCTCCAAAAAAATAATTAATTACATGATTTTAATTTGATTGATTAAAAATTGAAAAATAGAATAATTAATGTACTTAGACGAAAATAATTTAATTAAATATATTTTGCAGTTTTTTTACAGATTTTAACATAAAATGGGAAAATTTATCAACATGGTAGTCCGATTCCATGCATGTCCTACGTAATGAACGAAAAAAAAGAGTTATTATTGAATCTTACAAAAATGAAAGAGTTAGTATTGAATCTTAAAAAAAAAAAAAAAAAAAAAAAAAAGAAAAGAAAAAAATTAATATTGAACCTTACCAAAAAAAAAGAGTTAACCATTATTGTAAATAACAAAGAATCAAACTTGCACTTTCATAGAAACTATAGTCGTGTTTCCTAATCTGTCAATGCTTCTAATAATTAAAAAAATTGTTACAAAAAATAGAATTAAATTTTATGACTAAGAAAATGACAAAATTTAAAAAAAAAAAAAAACATTTGTAATGACAAAAAATTAGATTAATTTCCGAAGGGTTATTTAAGAAGAAAAAATCAGTACGAAAAAAATCATCCAACGACATTAGCATCCAGTTGATAGATGCATATACTTTTGGATTCATTCAAAACATGTTGCAAAAATGTCATGAAATACAATCAACAGTAGAAACAAAAAAAAAAATGAATAAGAGAACAAAGAAGGGTCAGTGTATGTGTGTTTGTTTGGAGAATTGGATTTAAATTCAACTATTCATCCAATTTTTTTTCCCCAAAAACATCAAATCAAATACCTATTTTTTATTTTTTATATTATACTAAAAATTAATTTTACATTCAAAACATCACATCAACACCTATTTATATCACATCATACAATTATTCAAATTCAAAATTTTTACTATTCAAATCCTAATCCAAAATCCAAAGCCCCAAACAAACACACCATTAATTTTGGATCACATAATTTTGGATCACACCAATAAATTGAATTCCCACAATAATTTTGGATCACATAACCTAATTATATCATTTCTTCTCTTCTCGTACCAAAACTAAATTCCCTCCATTAAATGCCAAAATTTTTCCACTCAAAACATATTATAAATACAGTAGAGAACAATAGTTTTTACAACCTTAATTTTTCACCATAATAGCAAATCAACCAATCTTCAAAAAGAATTTAATTAGCAACCAACTAAATAGCAATGCACAATATATGTTCCAGGGTTCAACCGATGGAAAAACAATACATGGAAGAGTAATAAAAGCTTCAAAGAAAGGAGTTTCAAGAAAAGCAATCCATAAAAAATCGAAAAGAGCAACTTCAATCAAGTCAGTCAATCATGTCGTGCAATAGAAAAACAATGCGGCATCAATCTAAAAGAAAATCTTTTGACCAAAAATTTTTACAAGCAATTTCTGGTAAAAAAAAAAAAGGCACGCATATGAGCATTACAAAAAAAAATGAATATAATTAAATCTATCGTTGGGACCTGGGCAAAGCAATGGCTGATCAGACCGCACATAAATACCATCAAGCCGGCTTTAATTGCGAAGAATAGATTAGAAATGCTGAAATTCAATTTACAAGCTTTGGAAATGAATTTTGATGCGAAGCTTTTAAAGTTTAAAAATATGTCAAATGTGGTGCATATATTTGAGAAATAGTTTAACCTTACACGAGAAACAAAAATGATTCAATTGAAGTCCAATGAGACAGAGCTCTATAGGTCCTGTCAAAGTAAAAGATTTATCAACAAAGTCATATTTTTGTGTGCTATTGCTAGACCGATTTATGATG